AAGCCCCGCTGGCCGCCGCCGCCATGCACGCCGCGGAGCCCCCGCCGCCCGAGGACTCTGGGACTACGCGGAGGCCGAACTTTTAGGTCCCACTGAGCGAGGCCCGCGGGCCGGGTGGGGGGCTGGCTGCGGCACTCCCGCGGAGGATGGATGGCCGAGACTTCGGGCCCCCGCGGTCCGTGCACGGCCCCCCGCCGCCGCTGCTGTCCGGCCTGGCTATGGACAGCCACCGCGTGGGCACCGCTGCGGCCGGACGCCTGCCCGCTTCTGGCTTGCCCGGCCCGCTGCCGCCCGGGAAGTACATGGCCGGCCTCAATCTCCACCCGCACCCGGGTAAGTGCCCTGCGCCGTGGCCGCCCCCCTCCGGTCCCCCCGGGATCCTGAGGAGGGAGGCCGGGGGAAACACTGCTCGGCCTGTTCCTGGGCGTTCTCGGCAGGGACGCGGCACCTCCCTTGCACTCGGCGGGTCCACGGGAGTGCGGGCAGGCTCAGCTCCCAGGGCGGGGAGACCCTCGGGCCCGGGACAGAGGCCAGTCCCGAGGATCCTGCGGAGAGGGTGCGCGGCTCGGCTGCTTTCCCCGGTGCGCGGGGTGCCTTCCCAGAGCACACGCGTCTGCTGAAATCGGAGCCACATGGGCGATTCCAACCCCAGGGCCCCTGCGGCTCCAGCCCAGGCTGGGGTTTTCAAAAATCTGGGCAAGAAAAGAATAAGCCAGCTCCACACTCTTTGAGACGTCCGTTCCCCGAGCTCGAAACCTTTTCTTGGCAAACGCCCTTGCCCGGCGCCCGTGGGCCCCGGTTCCGTTCCTAGCTTCTCCACTCGCACCGCGCGGGGTCTCCGGGCAGCCCCAGCGCCTGGGGCTGTGGGGAGGACGGAGAGCTTGGTCTCTGGCTCGCGGGCGGAGTCCCCCGGGGTCCCCCTCGGCCCGCGGGAGGAGAGCGGCTGTCCCAGGACGCACACCCCGGCAGGAGCGCAGCAGTCCCGGCCCCAGGAACCCCGTGTTCTCCGGCAGGCGGGCGGGCAGGCGGGCGCGCGGCGCGGTGGGGCGCAGAGGCTGGGCGGCCGCCTCCCCAGAGCTAGGGGAAGGAAGCGGCGTGGGAGCGGATCTGGCCGGCCCTGACCGGAGGAGGTAAAACCCTGGGTCTGACATGGAACCACGAGAGGAGGTGGCCAAGAGAGGGCCCGGAGGCTTCTGCCGTTTCCCGAGAGGGGCCGCTCAGGCTCGCTAGGGACGGCACCCGGGCGGGAGAAGTTTGTCCTGGGCGGGCCGCGGTCGCTCCAGTCGGGCAGGGTGGGAAGGGAGACAGGGGACCTCCAGACCTGCCGCCGAAGGACAGCCGGTCCCTCTTCCCCGGCCGCCTCCAGCTTCTTTGCCTGGCGTCCTTCGCTTCACTTAAAGAAAAAAAAAAAAAATCCACCTCTCCCAAATCCAGAGTGTAGTCTGGGACTCTTGCGATTTCTCAGGGAGCCGCCGACATGCCCCTCGGCCTTGGGAAGGACACCTCCGGCCTCCCTGGCCCTGTCCCACCGCTCCTGCCCTCTCGAGCGAGGCCCTGCTCGCCTGGCTTTGCCTCTCTCTTTGATTTTTCTCATGGAACTTTTCAGGAACCGGAGTCCCGGGGCTCGGCGGGACAAAGGGCTTTTGTGAAGCGCCGGGCAGGGGAGGGGCACACGCGGGGCAGCGAGTGCAGACATCCCTGCCCGCGGGGGCTGCGAGGACTGGGTCTTGGCCTCGGGGCGTGCGTGAGTCCCCCCAGGAGCTGTGGGCGCATTCCGCCCAGGGGACCGTGACCAGGGCTACGGTTTTCTCTCAAATGGTGCGCTGTGGGCGAGGGAGGGGTGCCGGGATTCTAGAGGAGGGGTCGGGGGCAGCCCTGGGGTACAGAAGGCCGCTTGAGCCATCCCCTTTTGCGCGCCCCCAGAGGCCACGGTAATTTTTGTATTTGCGTATCTTTTGAGCTCATCTGGTCACTCCGACCAAGCCAGGGTGGAGGACAGAGTTCTTTGGCCTGGGAGTCAGAGCCTGGGTCTTCCTGGCTGGCAGGGCTTTCGCTGGCCTTCTGCCTTCCCCCAGCCTGGGAGGGGGCGCCCCATCTGTAGTCTGGTTCCTGCCTGACAGAGGCCAGGTGCCCTAATGAGCAGGAGTAAAAACAGCCCCTATGAAGGGGTGCCTCGGCCTGCGTGCCGCGAGCCAGGGCCCGGCTGAATTTAGCTGTAGTGGGCAGACCGCCTAACACCCATTAGGTAGACGGGGAGGCTGAGGCAAGAGAGGTGAAGAGCAGGCAGGAGGAGGAAGTCCAGCTGGAGGTGGCTGCAGAGGCCTGTCGTCTGGGCCTCCTGCCTTAGGAGCTGCCTGACTTCTGCGTGCTTGGCAGCCGAGGTCACGGAGGAAGTAGCAGGCAGGCTCTGGGAAGCGCAGGAAGGAAGGGCAGGAGGGGGCTGGCGCTGCCCCTTGCTACCCCGACCTTGAGTGGCCGCTGGGAGACCCTGGACCCTAGGCCAACCCCAGAGCCCAGCCCTGCGCTAATCCCATTAGCCAGGAGGTAGGGAGCTGCTTTCCATTCACTGCTTGGGCGGGGTGGATTACAAATTCCTCAACCCAGCACCCCTCCCCCTCTTTCTTTGCTGGGTGCAGGTGCTAAATTTTCTCTTTCAGGCGCTTCTCCTACTTGGCAGTCAGCAACTTAGGTCTGGCCAGCCTTATCAGCCCTATCTTTGTTTGTTTTTGTTCTGGGAAGCCCGGAGAGGCTGAGCCTTGTGCCCTGGGTCACACAGCGAGGCAGTGAGAGGCCAGGTTACCTCTGGACCCCTTCCAGTTGGCTGGGCAGAGTGGGTGGGAGTGCCTGTGAATCCAGCCCTCCTAGGCAGAGGGAGTTGGCCCTCCGGGAGACTCTGGGAAAGCTCCCGGCTGGAGGGGGACCCTGACTGGGACTGGGCTGGGACCACATCCAGCCAGGTGTTGACAGGGGTTGTGGTGAGGGAGGGTGTCCAGAAGATGCCTTCCTGCATCATGGGTCTAGGCTGAGGGGTTCCGCTCTTTGCTGTGCGGAGGAGGAGGTAAATAAAGAGTAAATGGGGTTTGGTTGGCCATTACTTTCCCGGTAACCTTGAGCATTGTTGTAGTGTGAGCCCTTAAATGGTCACAGGAGTCGGTGAAATGGACAAGTAAGTGACAAGCACCTGGTAGGCTTGCCTCTCCGCTTTGGGATTGGGAGGCCTGGACTCAGGTCCTCCTCAGGCTGCAATTAAAGACCTATTAGCAGGATTTTGTACTTGGATGTTTATTCTCCCTGCCCCCACTCCTGCGGCTGGCTGGGCCCTGGAAGATACATGAATGGAGGGTGGAACCCAAGGATCAGGACGGAGAGGCCTTGTACTTTGGACCGGCCAGTGGACAATAGGGGGCCACGGGCCTTCTCCAGGGTCCATCAGCTCTATCTCTGGAATCCAGCCCGTCGGCCTACTGGGATTGATTTAAAGAGATTAATCAGTGGGACTGGCTGGTGGAGTAATGCGATCCAGAGATAAAGGAGATTTGCTGGGTGCTTCCTCCTCTAGCCCGAGGCACAGCAGAAGCCTGGGGGAGGTTCTGGACTCCGGAGGGGCCTCCCCCGGCCCCCTGGATCTCTGAGCCTGCCTGCCGGTTCTTTGGCTGTCAATCCAAGCGCTTCCTTTCTTGTTCATTTACTCAGCAAACCAGTTCCAAGTTCCCCCTGCGTGCCAGGCACTACTCTGGCTCTGGGAATCCGACAATGACCAGACAAAAATCTTTGCCCTCACTGGAGCTCCCGTCCTAGTGTGGGGGCCGGGCAGTAAGTACACAGATCAGCGAAGGAAATCATTTTAAATAAGAGATACAGGCTGTGAAGGAAAGAGAACGCCCAGGGTCTGTTTGGGCTGGAGTGAGGGGCTCCCAGGAGTGAGGGGCTCTAGGAGCAGGGTGGTGAGGTAGTGACGGGAGCCAGGGGGAGGAGAGGAGGGGGACCCTGCAGGTCCCCGAAGGCCAGTAATGAGGTCTTGGAATTTCACGCTGAGGAATGAGAAGGCAGTTGAGGGTTTTAAACCGAGGGAGTGATTTGAAGTGAGGGACATTTTACGGAGCTGGCCTGGACTCTTAAAAAAAAAAAGTGTCCGTGGCATACAAGACAAAGGAAGGCCAAGAACTGTTCCTGATTAAAAGGCAGAGAAAAATGTGACAGCAAAAGGCAACGTACAGCCCGCGATTGGATCTTGGATCAGGGAAGAAATTGCTCTAAAGGACGTCCTCGGGGCAATTGATGAAATTGGAATATGGGTTGTAGATGAGCTGATAGTATCAAATCAATAGCAGGTTTCAGGAAGTTGTTAACTGTACTGGGCTTCTGGAAGAGAATGTCCTTGCTCTTCGGAAGTACGAACGCTGGCATGTTTAGGGACAGGGGACGCGATGGCCACGACTGACTCTCAGGAATGGCTCGGGAAGAGAAAAAGTACTATCTGTAATTTATGCATGTATGGGAGACACCGATAAATCACTGACATGGAGTGACATCGACAGTGAGAGTGTTCACAACGGCTGGACCTAGGGAAGGTTATGGGGCAGGTCATCCTGCTATTTCAAACTTTTCTCCCAAGTTTGAAATTATTTCAAAATAAGCATTTAACAGAATTAGTCTGGACGGCCAGCTGGAGGCCGTCTGGGTAGATAGTGATGGGGAGGCGGTTCGGGAGAGGGTAGTGACCAGGGAGGGAGGCTGGAGACAGCCAGGGTTTGGGGCCTTGCAGAGGTTGGGCTGCTAAGACCCACGTGGCGGGGCAGAGAAGGAAGACAAAAGCTGGATTTGGAGGAATGTGCAGGAACAGATTTGGGGAGAGGGCGGTGATTTTGAACATCCTTGATTTGGATGTGACCAGCTTGGGGTGCTTTTGTTCTGGCGTGGAGCAGACTTAGCTCCCTTCCCGTCACACAGAGCCCTGTCTTCCACCCCGACTCCAGTCCCATCGCTGTGACCACCCCTGTCCTTGACTTCCCAGCCCAGCTTTTGAGGGGACCCATGGGAACTGGTGTCCGGACAGGTCTTGGGCCTCCCCCAGGGGCTGCTGGGAGCCCTGGCCAGCGGTCAGTCCTGGCCCCCCCGGGCCGGGGTCCTCACAGTGGCCCACAGAGGCCTGGCATCTGACTCTGGAGGACTTCAAGGCTCCACGCCCCCTTTGCAGGCCACAAATGCACCCATCCTCTGTATCCGAAGTTCCTTCATGAGTTGGTGAAAGTGAACAAAACACCCTCTCCACGCACCCTCACAATTTTGCACGTTTGGGCCTTCACGAGCTAGCTGAAGATTCTACTCTGCAG